TTGATGGCACTCTCCACCACCTCTCTTGAGGGCTTGATGATGTGGATTGTCCTCAGAGATCAAAACACAGAAGAAAGAAAATACGAAGTACTTGTTGTAGTCTAAGGAATAAGAAAATCGGGAGGATGAGACAGTCCAAAGGAAGAAGAAATGCCATTTACGAAATGGACGACTCGGGCCGGTAGCTCAACCCAAAAGAAGGGATTGGTGAGGCTCGGACCGATTTTGACGTTTCTTAACTGCGGGCGCTATCTGTAGGATCGAACGTCCTCCAAGCGAGAGGTAACCTCGCCCTCGGTGAGGGACGAGGTTATGCACGACTCTTTTTTTGGCGGCATCAGATGGACCGCCGGTAGATGGGAGGAATCTATCCATAGCAACACCCAGTTGCAGCTGCAGCAGCAGACCGCTCGCTACTTCTGCTGTCTGTGCGTCGCTTTTTCTGCACTCACTGTGGTGCGTGGTTCGTGCAAAGGGCGGCCCGCAGGCTCGCAGGACACAATAGAAGGGGTGTACGCGGCAGAAAAATGGGGGTACCCCGTTATCGTATATTCTGCCGGGCCCCCGGTGCTCATCAAAACAATTTTCCTTTAAGCGGGGAGTTTCCTTAACGCGAGCGTCCTTAAAGCGGGGTCGACTGTATGCAAGGAAGAAGTAAGCACAAGATACCGAACACCCTTGGCAGGATGCAGCGTACCTCCATGCGACTCGCCGGATACCTCACGTGATGCCATGAAGTCGACCATTCCGCCATAAAACCACCAACACTACCAGGTAATATAAGTCCACGATGTGACAATTCTATCGTTTAACCATCCCATCGTCCCATCAACTCATCATTCCGCCATGCAATCCTTTCGTCACATGATTCCACGAAGTGACCGGTCCGTCATTCCATATGTGATCCCCTCGTGGCCAGGACGTGCTGTTTCGGAAAGGTTTTCTCCGGAAAATGCAGGCCAATGAAACCGATGTCAACCTCCACTACCTTCGCGATAGGGGAGTCGTTGTGGTGCGAGGTCGGCAGGAGCACGCCGAAAGTGCGGCGGCCTCACTGCTATGGAAGCTGCACGGAGGAGGGGAACTCGATGAGAACGGGGTGAGAGGGGTAGATAGAGAGAGGGACAGAGAGAGAGAGAGGGAGAGAGGGGATGAGATGTAGACGGACAGTATCAATGAGAGGGAAGGGAGAGAGGGAGAGATTGTTGTTTGCAACGCTGCTATCAAGACCGCAAGAGTTCGCCATGCACAAGCGAAGGAAAAAGGAAACATGGGCTGAAGGGCACACCGGGGCTTGGTATAAAACACGCATGTTTCTTTCAGGAGGTGTGCTGACACAAAGCAGAAAAACCGGCTGCTGGGTAAGTGCACCGGGCGAGATACCGGCGAACATTGCACCGGTTACTCCCTCGCTTACTTTCGGTACTTCAAGCGTTTGATTCTTGTTTCGCCAGCGCTTTTTCAACCTCCAATCCCCCTATCCCCGTCCGCGCACGTCTTCCGTTCTCTCCCCCCTTCTCTGCCTCCCTGCCCACCTAGATGCCTCCTTGTTCGGTGTCCCTGGTTGCCGTGGCCCCGTCCGGCATGGAGGTCCTCACGGCTCGCGGCCGTCTGCACCTCAAGAGGCTGTCCGCCGACACCGGGACCGAGATGCACGTTATCCCCGCTGCGTCCGTCGTTAGGATAAGGGCCCGTGGTCGGGACGCCGGGGTCGTGTCGGAGGCGAAGAGGGCCCTCCTGAGGTTCTTAGGGGGCCACCGGGCGGAGGTGTTCTTGGACCTAGCGAAGGTTGTGTCGGACGCGTCTCCTCCGGCTCAACATTCTTCCAGCGGCCGCGGCGGGGGCGGTAGCGAAGGCAAGGCCGGAGCGGAGGCGATGGAAGAGGTGGTCAGCGGCGGCGGCGGCGGCGGCGGCGGTGGCGTCGGCCGGGACGGAGGTGTCGGGGCTAGCGCGGCTGACGCCAAGAAGGCCGTACGGACGCCGGTAAGCTCGGTGAGCAACAAGATCATTCGGCGCACGGTGAAACTCCATGGCTGCGAGGTGGAGTTTGTTGCGGCCCCGCCGCCGTCGCCGCCGGCGCCTTCGCCGCCGATGTCCTCCAACGCCGCCAGCGGCGGCAGGGGTGTCAGCAACAGCAACGGAAACCGCCGCGGCGGGAGTGGAGCGGGAGCAGAAAGACACCGCAACGGCCCTTACAAGAGCGGGCCGGGCCGCCAAGATGCCGGCGGTCGAGGAGCGGGGGTCGGAGCCATCACAACCGCCGACGATGCCCACGACGACGGGTCACTGTCCGCGGTAACCGGTGTGTCGTACACGTCGTCGGCGCCGGCGAGAATGGTTATGATTCGGGGCCTGCCCGGACAGGTTGACAAGGCTCGAGACGCGCTGGTTGCTCTGGTTTTGGGATGGGAGGATGGCGAGGTAGCACTGGGGGAGGAGGGTGCGGCGGCTTTAGGAGCGGACAGCTGGAGGAAAATCCAGGTGAGAGGGGGGTTTGTCGTATGAGAAGGCTTGTCGCTTCCGTCTCTGTCCGCTAGCTTGTGTTTGTGATCCATGCGGCATTGCCTTGTTTTGGTGGTCGTTGTTGGGTTTTGCTTTCGTGCACGAGGCCGTTCTCTCCTTCCAAGTTGGTTTGTTTTGTCCTTAGACGGCTTCGTTGGCTTGGTGCTGATCCTTGCGGCGTTTTTGTTTGGTATTATTTTTTGTTGCCACATGCACGAGAACTTTGAAGGTGGCATTGCTCCGACTTGCTCGTGCGCATGCTCCCGCTCTTCGATTCGTACCCCCGTCCTCAGGATTCAAGCGGAAGGGTCACCATTACCCCGGATAAGTCGAGGTGCTCGCTTCGGGTCTCCGGCCCACCGGCGGCGGTTGAGGCGTGCAGAAAGGAGTTGTACACCATGCTCGCGGACGCGTCTCGGGGAAAGTTTGTCGCGGTGAGCGTCGTTAGTCTGTCCGTCTCTCTGCCCCTCTCCCTGTCTCTCTCTCCAGATAGTAGCGTCGTTCTTCGGTTTCGGTGTCGATCTGTTCTTGTTCTTCGCGAGGGAGGTGTACGTGTGACGAATCCCAGTTGAAAATTTAATGTTTCTCTCGTCTATGCCGTCGCCTCGGCTCTACCCGGCCGGCATTCTCCCGGTCATGTTGGGGGGAAAGGGGAGAACGTTGAAGCAACGGCACAGGAGAATATTTCACCCGTCAGAGGGCGCACTCATTTTCTTTCACGCGGCAGACCAGCCTCCCTCGAGTGAAACCCATGCGATGTACCACCGCCATATGACGCCGTGCGCGAAAAGAAGAAGTCGACTATACCATTCGTACGGCCATCTCACATCAAGCTTTCTAAACCACATCGCTTGCTTACGCACCAGGTGCCCATCCCACGCGAGGCCCTCCACGAGGTAGCCACCTCTCTTCGCCTAGCCGATGCCGCCGCCGCGGCCGCCGCCGCTACGGCCTCCTCGCCAAAGACCGGCGATGGCAAGCGAACGGCGGCGGCAGCGGGGCAAATAGCGGAGGTTCTGGGGCCTACGGGAATCGCTTCGGCGGCGTGCGGATGGCGGGGCGAAGGCAACGTACAGCTCTTGGCCGACTGGCCGTGCTCGTGCGTCCGTGTGAGGGGGGAAGCGGCGGCCGTGAGCGTGGCGGTGAGATACATGGGGGGGGGGATCCGGGGGTTGTGCGAGAAGGCTTGGGTGTACATCCACTTGTTTAGGCGCCGGCAGCGTGTTGAGGGAGTGGTAACAGGCGGGAGGCCGAGGGGAGGCCGAGGGGTCCGCAGCCCAAGAGCACCAGTAACGCCGGTCGCCCTGTGAATTGCGTGACACAAATTGCGTTACTCAACTCATGCCATATTCTGAATTGTGCCGGGAGACAGGAACAAGGCCGGCCAAATCCCTTGAAACTGGTGTGCGGCCTTGTACAGGGACTACCGTCCGTGCCGTTCCCCGAAACACGTCGGTGCTTTTTGCCCTTTGCACTCGGGGCCTGCGCTGCCCTAGTCCGGCGAATAGCTGGCGTGTGCCGCCCCAGCTCTGCTGGGGTGCGAGGTTTACGGTCTAGCGCCTACAGAAGGCGCCACCACTTTGAGAGGCTCTTGTCATGCCTGTAGGGTCACCCAACAACGACGACGTGTGGGCGATAGTGTAGGCTTCTCAACTGAACACCTGTTCTCATGGTCAACTCTTTTCTTGCGGGATCGTCGTGAGGCTACTGTATTTTCTCCCAGGTTCCCAACGTGAATGTGGCGAGTTCTGCGTGTCACGCGTCAAACGAGATCCCCCTCCCCCTTCCGCCGCCGTGGCTGTGAAACTTCTCGCCATAACGACAAAACAAGGTGGACGAGATCAACACCGCGCTGTCGATGTGGTCAGCCCTGACCGTCACCGCGGAGGTCGAGGAATGGATGGAGCCGGAGCTGCTCGGCAAGCAGCGCAAGGCCATCAAGAAGCTGTCCCAGAGCATGGGAGGTGTTGTCCTCAACGTCGTCGACGGCGTATGCTGCGGGAGAGCCGCGTCCGAGGAGGAGGCCCGCGATGCGACGAGAAAGCTAGAGGAGCGGGTGAGGGAGGGGATACCCCGGTCGATCGGCCAGGGGGATACGGGTGGAAGCTGTGGGACGCACAGCGGTATTCTGGCCCTGTTTTGGCGACCTCTTTTGGACACCTTGCTAGCGTTGCCGGGGATGTTTTTTTTTTGTTTTTTGTAGAAAGGCTGTGGAGGAACTGAATGGGGTGGCGACGGAAGCAGAAGATGGGACCGGCCTTCGAGGCATGGCGGTGTTGTCGAGTATTGTTCAGTGCATTTCTAGTTCGTTCCAAAGGCCGGGTAAGGCTGGGTCTGACAACATCGTCTTTTCCTAACGGTTGTTGGTGTTTGTCTCCCAAAACGGCGAAAATGAAAACATTTTTTTTTCGTGTTGTCAACATTAAGTTTTCAAAAAAAAATAGTCGTGCTTTGTTGGGAGAAAGCAACTCGATGAGAACATGCCCTACTCGCCCAGAAGACCCACAATATCGCGATAACCTAATCGGTACAGGAGTACGTCTAGCGAATCTAGAAGAAGTCATTTACGAATAGTTCAGGCCCTCAATAAATATCAAAGTGTTCCCATTCCGCCCCCCTCCCTCTCTCTCCCTTAGTACGCGGACCTTGTCATGACCACTGTCCCCTCTGCCATCGATTCGCAACCGACGACAAAAATCTGTATATATATATAGGTGAACGAGCTACGAGCTAGGCGGGCAGTGGTGCGAGTGCCCCCGGAGGTTGTGAGCCAGCTGACAGGCCGACGGGGATGTAGCATCGACAAGCTCAAGGAGAGAACGCGCGCGACCATATGCATCGAGGAGGGGGTAGGAGGGAAGGAGTTTATCATCTGCGGGGACCCCGCCGCTGTCGCCGCGGCCAAGCTCGAGGTGAGTGATTTACTCCCGCTGCCCCGCTCAGAGTCTTGAGCGCGTACACACCCCTCGAACTAAAAGTCCGCGTGTTCTTGGTCGGGAAGATTTGTACCTGTTGGTAATTTGCTTGTTTGTTTGTTGGCGTTCGTGCCATGTATCGATATTATTTCCTTTTGACGTTGTTCTGTAGAAGATAAATCTGTCTGTATATATTTGGTGTATGTAGTGCGTACAATTCACGCGTGACCTCCACCGAAACCCAACCCTACCAATTACGACCTCCATAGGTGGAGGCGATGGCTCGCGGGCCGTCGAAGAGCGGCCCTGCGACCCAGGCCCCCAACAATAGACAGAGCCAAGACGGCAGCGTTCCTGACGCGGCCGGAGACCCTTCGCCGCTCCTGTCGCCTTCCCCTGGCGAGGGGGTGCCGCAGACAGGAACACCGTCGCCCCTGCCCCCATCGCGGCAGAACCAGAACCAGCAGCACGCCGGCAACACTGCGGGCGGCGGGGGTCAGGATGTTGATCTGGCGGACCGACGGGAGTGTGATGCGACGGCGGGTTCGGTGAAGACGGCGGTTGCGGTCCCGAAGCTGGACGGCGAGGGTTACCGCCGCGGCGTGGAAGACCAAGAAAGGGTCGGCGAAGAGCAGCCCCTAGTCGTGACCCCGCCGGGCGGCGGCGGTGACGCGCGACAGGCGCCGGGGCCGAGCGCCTCGGGATCGACTGGGCGCCCACTTGGCGCTCGCGATGCCTCCTCCAGCGGGGGTGGCAGCAACAACAACAACAACAACAGCAGCAACAGCAGCAGCAGTGCCGGCAGCGAGGGCTTCGAAACGAACGCGAGGGATAATCCCCGGAGTGGCGGGGATCCTGCCGGGGTCGCGGCCGAGCCGGCGGGGTCACCAGCACCCGCCGTGGTGAGCAGCAGCAACCACTACCCGGCCAAGGGTTCTTCGGCGTCGTCGTACCGAGGGAGGCTCGGCGAGCGCGACAGGCGGGTGTCGGCGGCGACGGAGTCGGAAGCGGAGCGCCTCCTTGCCAGCCTTCTCCTCGTGGACAACGCAGCGGCGGACGTGGGGCCTCCCATGGACCAGTCGCGCTTGTCGCCCGGCCATCGCGAAGGGGCGGCGGCAACGACGGGCGTGGGTGCCGGCCTGCGACAGCCGCCGCCGCTGCCGTCGCCGTTTTCTGTTTCTGGCGATACCGGTGGACACAGAGCGACACCCGCTACTACTGCCGCCGGCGGCAGTCTCGGGCGTGGACCCGCTACTCCGGCCTGCAACGGTTCACCACCTCCGTCGCTGCAGCCGGTCGGGGGTGGCGTGGCCCCGGCTTGCGGAGGTGGGTACTTCACGTCGAGCAGCGGGATTCGGGTTCGCCTCTGAACTGGACAGGGAGAGCTGCTGGTTGTACCCGGGCTAGAGTGCTGACCGTTTGTGATGGTCAGCAGGAAGAAGATGAGGATGATGCCACAGGGTGGCGCACAATCAGCTTGCTGATTGGTCGATTTATTGATTGACAGATAGGTCGTGTGGCAGTATTCGCGGGGGGCGTGCGGTCTTTGGACGAGCTTGATGTTTTTTTGGTCGGGTACAGGTTGGTATCATGTTTATGCGCGACACGCCTTGGGCGCTGTTGTTTTCCTTGTACCTTCGCGTGCGGCTTGCAGTGCTCGGAGAAATTTTTGTTGGGGGTACGTGTGTACGGTCTGTATATCCTTCGCTAAAACTTCTCATGACGTAGCCGGGGCGATTGTAGGCGGAGCATGCGGGCGTTTGTGGAGCATGTTTTTCACTCCATGCATGCGGCAAACGAGGCCAGGTGTAGCTGAGGAGGGTTTGTTTTGTGTGTGCGCCCCCAAAAGGGGTGCGTTATCTGTGTTTGGGTGTACTGTTGATGTGTATGGAGGCGTCATTTGTTTGCTTCGGGCTTATGAACTGGGTCAGAGACGGAGAGGGCACCAATCCAATGTCTTGAGGGAAGAGTATTCATTGATGGTCGGTTTGGGTGGCACTTCTCCACGTCATGGGGGTCATGCATAGCGTCAGGAGTGGATGGTTTTTGTCAGGTCTGGTTTGTTGGGGTGGTAAAAGAACGTAGAGGGTTTGAAAGTAGGACAAGGGACGCTTGTGCGTGTGGGTGGATTGAAATTGTGGACAAAATGGTAGACCGATTTTTTTCCAGAGGAGGCGCTGGGTATGCGTTGGTGCACACATTAGTCAGACAGAGCGACGAGTGCAATCCAGGGTATTGGTAACGGCGGAGACGCGGGCTGCCACGCATCACCTCTCACGGAGGCCCTACATCGAGACAGAAGAAGAGCAGATGTCACTCATGAAACTTGAGTAGTGAGTAGCACAAAAGTCAGCTGAAACCTCCCAAACCCAGCCTTCTCTTCAACCGCACACCATGTGGTACATCTACATATCATGGCCGTGACAAGGCGTGTTTAGTGTCTCTCCTCTCGTGAATGCGTACGTTCACCTTGATCAATCCCTCTCCTACCGATTCCGCCACTGAATTTCCGGTATCCAGCCAGACGGGACTGCTTCGTTCGTACAGGGCGGTATTTGTACAGATCAGTAGCTCAGCTGCTGTTGCACTATCGGCTCTGTCTTAACAACTTGCAGGAAGCATTGAATTTATAAACGAGGCTTCCTGTCACGGTGAACTTCGCCCCCCCTGACATTGTTTTCTCTGGTAACATTTTTTCTTGACCTTTTAATACTCCATTGGGGGGGTGGCAGAGAAGAAGAAGGGTCGACAGGTTAGTTCATTCACCAAGAAGTGGTAGGGAGGCACAAGTTGGGGATGGATCGCGCCGAATTCTGGTTTCCCAGTGTGTTTCCCCGATTTTTGCAGTGTTTCCCCGATTTTTGTAGTGTTGTTTGGTTTTCCTGTGATTCTTTCGCTCGCTCTGTCTTCCTCCGATGACTCCTCCTTGGTTGCGACAAGGAAGGATTGTTGCAAACGCGCGCAGGAGCTTCAAACAGCCCATTTTTTCTGCCACCAGATTATTTATGTCATGATCCAAGCACGGAGAAAAAATGAAAGCTACAATCGTTGCCTTTCAGCTCGAGGAAAATATCTCCTTTGGCAACAACTTGGTTCGGGAGAATTTATGCATGACGTCCCCCTGGAAAATGCAGCGTCCCGTGGAATACATCGTCGTCGCATACCCCCCCCTTCTAGGGCATATGGGGTGGACCTCGTTCGCGAAGCGTGGGGTTAAGCGCACGCCGTCACGGCAGTATGGGGAACAACAAAACATCTCATAAACACTATGCGTTGGTTGTGCGAAAGCACCCCGCTGAAACTTGAGCATGAATGCGTGCCTACGGCCTTGTACGGTGTAGTCAAGTTTTGTTGAAATCCGTGTAGATGATATAAATTTAAAAAACATCGCACATTGAATAGGATTTCAGTGTTTCCTTTACGTGCAGTACATGAAACAACAGAATACAAATCTTTCGCAAAATACTGCTTACTAGACTACAGCGTTCAAATACAATTAAATAAAAACCTCCAGAAAGCACCGCATGACTCAGCAAGAGAGAAACTAAACCCACCAACTGGCAAATAAAGCACGTGCGACGGCAGTCGGCATCCTAACCCGTGCCCTCACCATATACCACATGATGCTACCCTACCTAGTGTATTGCAAGCCCTACGAACTACATGTAGGAGAAACCATTTCCACCCCCCCCTAACGTCAGCATCACGTCCAAGCACGCACGCTAACAGGCCTCGCGCACGTCTGGCGACAGACGTCGAAACCACCCACCCAGACCACACGAACGAACGAACGCGCATACTCCATGGACTACCAAAACCAACCACCCAACCAACACCCGTTGCCGTGCTGGAGGCGTCAGGAACGAACGCCAGCCAGCTAAAAACTGAACAATAAATTAAATACAGGGTAGAATCCGAGATCATGTTGGATTCATCCATGTTTCACAACGAGCGCGAAATTTTACCCTTTACCCCCGGTACATTGATTCGTATGTATCAGTTGCATGCCACACACTCCCATCAACACTGTTACACGTTCAAATCGGGTGCTACCTGCGAAACATAATCTGGTGCGTATGTATTTCCGTCAACAGGTTCCGCCACAAAAGTGCCTCTCGTGGCTCTCGACAACACAAGACACCCGAGCCAAGCGAACGCGCGAAAACCTTCTTGAACTATCCGCACGGAAAAAAAAAAACCTCAAACAGCACCTTATGACTCAATACTACATATTAGCATTGGCCCGAGTATCAAGCACCTCAGGAGGATGGCACGTGCAGCAAAAAATTCGTTGTGAGGGAAAAACAAATGCACAAGCCCACAACCACGCTCCCGCCCCCCGCCCCCCGATCTCACCGCACTCTTCCATTCAGATCATTTACCCGATTGTTTTCAACTCACTTTCGCTTCGGCCTTGTACGCTTGAGCGGTTGCTCTCCCCAAGACAGTCAAATCACGCAAGAGCCTCGAAACCCACGTAAATTCACTCCACGAAAAAAACGAAATCACAAAATCCTTCACAACACACACTGCGTCCTCCAACAGTCTAGCAAGAATCCTCCACAGCACAATGCGACACACAACCCACACTTTTTTTGGTGAGAAAGAGCATAAACACGAAAACCGCCTAAAATATAAAAAAAATTGCGTGAAAATCCACCACTGGTGGACCGTGCGCCTGAAAGAGCGGCACACCCATCCGCGCACGAGACAGAAAACGCGTGCTACACCACAACTTGCAATGAAATGGGCGGTGCCTTCCCCCCTATCAACGCTCCAACCATCTTGCATACTTCTATCCTGCCGTGGCTTCATTTAACCGTACGTTGTACTTCGTTTACACGCCGCGCCTGCCATCCCCCACATAATCTTCGTACCAGCCTTTTCCAGAAGCAGCAACCGCAACCGCGGCCACCCCAAAAAACCCACGCAAACACAACCCCTCTCTAAATCAAGCTCAAGACACACATTGTTCACTTCCTAATTTCCCGACCATTGATGATGCGTTTTCGTACAGGAAGGAGGCGGTAGTGATCGGGTGAAGGGTTTACTCAAATATACACCGTATCAAGCCTCGTCGGCCATCATCAGCTAAGTCAGGTGAATATCATCATCACGAAGCCTTCATCCAGGGGTGACGAAGGAGATTCTCGACGCTGGGCCGTTCTGCCGGGGAATGGCGCAGGCAGGACTGGATCAAACCCGCAGCCTGTAGAGTTTTGGTGTTTGGGGGCGACGTCGGGATTAGAGAGCGACAACCCACTTGAGCACCAGTGCAGTGAACATGAATCGAAAGCGTCATCGTCAACACTGGAGTACGGGAAATAGGGGGCTTTCCACGTTGTTGACGCCCGCTTACTACCCGAAGCCTCCGCACGCAGGTTGTTGTTCAAACAGGTAAGCCCTCTCGGTGAACGACACTAACCAAATTCTTCGCGCTTGTATCAATACCACCGAAAAACGCTTTCAGTAATAGCTGGAGGAATGCGAGACAAATGGGAGGCTTAACCCTGCTTCCCCACATGCCTTACCTCCGGCGACAAGGAGATGCCCCACGCCGACAGAAGGTCCACGAGTCTCTTTTCGACGGCCACGATCTGACACCGCTGATCCTGGGATGGAAGAGCCATCTCGAACGGCGGAACTCCTGTCAGCATGCTGCACGGCCAGAGTTACACGGGGGGAGGGGAGGGGTTGAAAGGAGGCCAACAATACCAAGTTTAGTGCGCACGCTTACGCCGCCTTAGAAAGGGTCAAGTTTGAGCAGGGAAAAAGGTTACCGTTCGCCGGTGCACGGGCTACTTTCACGCGCAAGAAACCTTGTGCTTAACATATACCTACCGATCACCAAACGAGAACAGCACCCTCAACCACGAAAACAAGATTTTGAGCTTGAAACTGCAGCAGCAGCAGCGGCAGCAGCAGCTATTACTTACACGAAGAGCAGGACGCCGCACGCCCACACGTCCACGGCGAACCCGTCGAATCCGCTCGAGACCGAGCTCGACAAGACCTCCGGGGCGATGTAGAACGGCTTGCCGCAGGGGCCCTGGGGAAGGAGAACCCTGGCCCTGCCGTCAGGCTTCTGAGGAATGCGCAGCGCCAGCCCGAAGTCGACAAGCTTCACGGTGTTCCCCTCGTCCAGCAGCAGGTTTTCAAGGCTCACGTCCCTGATATTGGTAGGCATTTGTCGACGGAAGAAAGGGGAGGGTGTCGGACAACACAGAGCAAGACAGGCCTTCAAGTGAAGAAAAAATTACACCATTGATTGATTGCCGATGGTTTGGCGTACAAGAACACCGCAAAGTGTTTTATTACAGATGCTTAAGTAGCGGCAACACAACCAGCAGAGTGGTGCATACTGGTAGTTCATCCCCCAACGCGCTATGTTACTGGTGAAACCCTGTCCTTCCATAGATCGTTGCTGGTTTCGGCTCCCAACACAACATGCGCAAAGGTAGAGACATGGCACTGCGCTTTTTTCTCTTTATTCATCAAGAGCCCCGTCCCAGCGATTACTGCTCGGGAAAAATACCATTGGCCGTCCCGTACTCACCGGTGGCAGACCCCGTGGATCTTGAGGTGGCGAAGCGCGTGCAACACCTGGCGGAACAGCGGTCGCGCCTCGCCCTCCTCATACCGACCCCGGTCCGTCAGCGCGTCGAAAACTTCGCCCCCGCTGTAGAACGGCGTGACGATGTAGATGCTGTCCGAATCCCAGAGTGCCTGTGTAGTAAACAAGGCGATCGACGGAACATCACCACTCAACATATATATATATATCTCGCGCAGGTGCTTTCGCAGCCTCTGCAAAATATATACTTAGAAGTATTCACCAGAAAAAAATAAGGCCCTTGCAAGTCTACTCATTTTTGCCCCTGTTGGGTACTACACGTCAACAACTCGCACTGCTGCGTCACCTTCGCTGCATGACGCGCTAACAACGGCAGATGGAAAGATTAAGATTGGTCGCACGGCAGCCAGTCAAAAAATACTTCTATGTCCTTGCCGTCCTGCTGCTAATTGGTACGATGCACGGCAGTGTACGATTTCTGACCTCGGTGCAAGGAAGGACGTTCTGGTGGCTCGACAGGAACTGCAAAGCGGCCACTTCCCGCAGCGGATCCTCGTATGTCCGGCCCTGCACCTCTCGCAGCTTGTCCAAGTTGAGCTCCTGCGAGAGTTTAGGCACATGCATGGGGCAATGTCATCTCAAGGGCGAAATAGTGCAAAAGTTCAACTACTAGTGCTCAAACGGGTTGTTCCACGGCTTTTTTTTGCTTTGGAAATCACTTCATATCTGTCGAGATGCCGACGACGTGTGTATGTATACCCTTCGCGGCAACCACACTCTCAGCAATCGCGAAGGAACAAAAATAAACCGAGAACACCGAATCGAACACCAGTGTAGTGTAGCCATCACGTCTCCGGCACGAGCACAGCAACCTGAAACAACAGAAAAAATAATCACCTTGATTGCGAAGTACGCTGGCGATGATGCCGCTGCTTCTTCGTCTGTAACCTCAACAGCACGCAACACCTCTCCGAACTGGCACTCCCGGGAGGAGCTGACAGCCCTCCAGCGGCGGCCTGTCGCCTGCGATCTGAGGGTGTAGCTTTCGTTCCCGATTACCTTGAGGGCCTTGGAGAAGGCCGGCATCGGGAAACTAAGCTGGTCGTACATTTCGGCGGAAGGAGAAGAAGCGGCGGTTGCGGTCGACGACGACGGTGCTGAGGTCGTGGTGCTGCGAATCTTGGGCGGTGGGGCTGAGCTGTGCCGCTTGATCTTGATATTGTCTTCACGCCAGGAGGCGAGCAGCCGCCTGCTGTGCTGTTGCTGTGCTGGAAGAGCCATTGCCGTCCTCCTCCTGGCGTTCATACAAATGGCGGAAGGGGAGAACATGCCCCACGTGTCATATTGTTTTGCGAGCTCGACACGTGGGTGAGTGTGTGCATGCATGCGAATTCGCGGCGACGCCTCAATTCACCCGACATGTTGGATGAACAGACTACAGAGCGAATTTGCAGATGACATGAATCGCGGTAAAAACAGCCAACCAAAGGAAGGGGCGTGCAGCTCAGCAGTGACCTATTGCCACCAAACATATAACGACCTAAGGTAAAGTAAGGAAGTGGTGGCCATGTGGCCATGTTCTTAGAGGCGACGAACTGTGGCGCAGCGGCGGTGATTGCAGTCCACGCAGAGTGTTCTCGTGCAAGTTCTCAACGAATTTGCAAATCCGCTGCTGCCAAGCTACAACATGGTTTCGTGTGTAGATTTTTCTCCGAACTGAGGAGGATGCCCCGCCAAGACGCACTCCGGTGCTACACCACATGCTCGGCTCACGACCTTCCATGCTCCGATTACTAGATGCAGCAGGACACAACTATTACATGCGACGCTCCAGATCCACGAGGAGCACGTGAGGATGTTGGAACACGACCCACCTGGCCTCTGTCGAATCCGTGATGCAGACGGCACGGGCCTTGAGTCTCTCGCACCGGACACGTCAAACGAGTCTCCTCTCTACCTTAGTGTAGAAGTGTAGGTTGTATCGGTCCAGGCTGGCGAAAAGTGGAGTGGAAAGAGAGAGACGCCGAGAGAGAAAGCATATGAGAGATGGAACGCGAGAAAAGGGAGCCTGTTCGGAGAACGGAGCAGGCCGCGCGCGATTTAAACTGCGGTGTCCAACGGTGATTGGTGGAGGGTTTGCGAAATTGCGAGGAAAGCCGTTCGCGAGGTGCAAACCCGGCCTGACGACGCCACGACGCCCTCGTCTCTCGTCTCCCAGCACACAGAGCAGCTCTCATTCCTCTTCTCCTAGATGGGCCGTGCTAGGGTTAGCCCCACCCTCTTGGCCATGATAATTGCTGCTGTTGTTGCTGCTGCTGTTGCTACAATGCCTCGAAGCGGTATGGCGTTTGGTCTTCGATTTCCTCTACGGCGGCGGGACTGTCAGAATCGACCTCGCAACATTATGGCCGCGAACAAGAACGCTCCGGCTTTAGCTACCAGGTACTATGGGGTGAACCATGAGTGCGAAGGCCTGCACCAACCTTCCCATCGTCACATATGTCAAGCACCGTGTTTTTGTCCGTGTTGACTCAGTCGAGCTACTGCTGTACACCCTTCTAACCAGCACAGCCCAGGCACCGACTCCACCGATGTGTCCACAGCAGTATTCGATATAGTTACACCATTAGACTAGTCAGCGTAGTAGCCTAATGGGTGAGCCTTTCGAACAAACGACATACTCGTAGACTCTCAGCCTCCCAGCTGGATCATTGGGTGATAGGAATCTCCGGGGCCGGACCCCTCGCCACGCGCTGCTGATAAAGCAGTTAGGGTGCTTCAATAGTGATCCAACTTTTATTCGATAAAGTTACACCATTAGACAAGTCAGCGCTTACCGAGTAGTCTAATGGGCAAGCCTTTCTAAAACACAGCATATAAGGGCCTGCGGATATTCGATGCATTTGGCTGGGGAGCGAAATAATACATACCTATACAAGGTGGTCTGGCGGCTTTCGCCGCCTCGCTCAGTAGGTCGATTCCAAGATACGCGATTAGCCAGCGGTAGCAATAACAAGTAATACGAAATGATCAACTGCTTACCATAAAGAGAGAGAGAGAGCGTACGCTGGCGGCTTTCGCCGCCTCGCTCAGTAGATCGATTCCGGGATATGCGATAAGCGCACGCAGCTTGGTAAGAAAAAAGCAAACAGTTTGTTCAAATTTGTTGCAAAAAGAGAGAGAGGGCGTACGCTGGCGGCTTTCGCCGCCCCCACTCAGAACCGCTGTTCATGTATTTTTTCCTAAGAAAACCCGCCCCTCGCCAGGGAAATTTCAAAGAGACTCGTTCCGAAGTGAAGCGGAATTAAACTCCGACGAGACAAATTGTTGGGCAGTTATATCATGTGGGACACGCGAGACGGGGCAGAGAGACTGCTGTAGTGTACTCTACTACGCGCTGAGAAGATGTTCCTCGACATGTGGAAGAAGAGGAAGAGGCTGGGGTGAAAAGGTAGTGAACGAACGAACGCAGGTGGGGGAGGAGCTAAGAGGGCGCCACACCACAAGGCATCTTGCCTACGTTTCAACCCGTAGTGTAGATAACCCGTGTGGAACGGGTTCATCAACGTCTCAAATAGTGGAGCAGCTGGCTGACAAGTATGTCAACTGTTGGAACTGAGAAGATACCCTGCCCCTCGCCCAGGAAATTCGGAAGGGAAGCGTTCCGAAGAGAAGAAGTGGAATGAAAGGAACATACATGAGGCGCCCAAAGACCCAAGGGACAGATGGTGCTGGGCCCTGCAAGAGGGGAGAGACAGACTGATGATGGTGTGTGAGGGGAGACAGAGAGACTGGTGTAAATCGTGATGTGTGGATGGATGAGAGTAGCAGCAGATGAAAGGGACGACATTCATTCCCGATTTAATCCGTCCGTGCAGAACGAGACTGACAGTCAAGTTTCGGAACTGAAAGCAACGAAAAGGAAAGTTGAATGTTGTGGATGTTGAACGATATATAGCACTGGAGAGCAACGGGCAAAAGCAGACTGGATATGTGAAAAATGGATGTGTGTGTGAAAACCAAGAGAGGAAGATGAAGGCCCCGTGTGAGAGGCGTGCGAAGGGAAGGGTGGAAGCAAACGTGACAGGAATGAAAAAAGCGGAAAAGGCGGCGAATTAACGGGAAAAAGCGGGAAATCGGGAAAACGGGAAAATTAACATTGGAGAAACGCAGTCCTGTGAGCCGTCCAGAGAGGCTGAATGCAGCGCCGTGAGAGCCCGAGAGAATTTTCTGCACAAGTTTCGAGTGAATCTTTATGTGAAAAAATGATAATGAGCTGCGGAGCGAGCGGAGCGAGCGCCATTTTTTCCCTTCGTTCCCAGGAGGGAAAAAAAGGCTCCACACATCGGCCAAAGTTGCGCCGCGCGATACAGGGACCCCAAAACTTCATTTCCGGGAAGCCTTTTTGGCACACCTTTGGGACGAGAACCAGATCTATGGGGCACCGATTGACGATCTGTTCGCTTCTGAGGAAGAAGAAAAAAAGCGCGCTCTTCTCCGCACCGATTTCGTCGTGCTCCGAGAGCTGATGGCCGTGCTTCACCGGCATATGTAACCTATATTCGTAGGAGATTTTTCTCCCCAACCCCGGGGTTTCTACGCGAAAAGGCGTGCACAAAAGCGGAGATCGCGCGCGCGCGCGATTCAAACCAGGACAAGAAACACGGACAGAGACGCAAGAACACCACCAACAAACGCATCACCGCTGAGACGCTGGTCTGAGACCAGCTACGAAAACCAGGAGGGGCCGGGCCTATACGATCTGTGCACCGTGGGTATGCTGTAGGCATGCGCCATGTGTACCCTGGCGGGTGTGGATTGATGTTGAGTGGGTCCAACCAACTGCTTCAAAAAGAGCAGACCGATGATCACACAAATAACACACCCTCCCACAAGCAAGTCCAGATCACACTTACCATCATCGAGGGAATCCATCGAGGGCAAGAGGGTCTACTACTGCTGCTGCTGTGCGTTATCAGGATGGTTCCCCGCGGGATCGGTTCAGTTTGCGTCCTTGCGCCCCGCTACTGACTGTCTTCGCAAAGAAAGCCGTGCCCTGCATGCTGTTGTTGCTGCTGCAGGGCTGCAGCAGGGCTTCTCGGCCTCTCGTGTCAAAGTCATGACGTCACATGGTCATCAACGGCTTTTTGTTGTTTTTAGTTCATGCTGGACTGCTTGCTTGCACTTGGGCGGGAAACTCGGAAGGCTTGAGACAAATGTGGCGGGCAAGTTGCGAGCCTGACGTAATATTTGCCATCTGTCGTGTCACAATCCTATGTCTGCTGGTTGTTCTTCTCGACGGTGTGATAAGTGACACGCTCGCCGCCAGGGGGATGCCGCATATGTTCTTCAGATGATGTGCATGCGTGTTTGCGTCCGCACAGCGGGAAGACTTTCTTCGTGCATGTGCATCAACACGGAAAGAAACAACCGCATGTATAGTGCAAAACATTTTGAACGATGGCCGCACATACAATCATCGTCGCTCCCGTCGCACACCTGCTGTCCCTCTTTGGTGCACGCGTAGCTGCACCACAAGCGAATTCACGCTGGATGTATGTCGGGATTCGTGCACCATCAGCATCGCAGATAAGACTACTGCAAGGTATTGAGTCGCACCACGCGGCTCATTACCCCCCCATACCTAGTACCTCGTGAGTCCGACCTAGTGGTTTATCATCCCTGAGTAGCTGCTGTACTCGTAGGATTCATCACAGCGCTCACATGTCAAGTTGCAGTTATATGTCGACACAGAGCAGCTTCCGTGGCTGACGCTAATACAGTAGACCATCGCTTGGTACGGCAGTGTTAGCAAATGGAACTGGGGTGTGATTGTCGCTCACCCCTTACGCTGCATTAGACGAGATTGTGCAACAGAGTTAGGCAATTTGATCAAACCCGGGTCGTTTCTACGTAATTCACGGGCGGTAGACTAGTTCTTCTACTTGCTGGATGTTGCGTAGGCCGTCGTTGACTCCGGTGAGACTGTCTGACAAGGGTGCTGACCGAGCATTTTCACAGGAACACCTGTTGTGTGCTTGTTGCTCTCCGGTACGTCTGCTCTACCCTACATATGTATGTGCGCTTTCGCTACACAGAAAAACTACCAGAACTCCAATCCCCACAGAGCCTCCCCAGGGGAAGTGGCGCGAGCAGATGGAGGGGATAAGATCCACGCGGAGGTCGCGGGACGCGGCTGTTGATTTCGCAGGGGCAGGGGCTTTGAGAGATTCAAGCGCAGGCAGTGAAGACGACGTACGGTTCCAGGTAGGTCCCCGAGTCACGAGTCCACTGCTGTTCCTACGGTTGTGCTCGTGCCGATAGGATGAGATGGTTGCTAGGCTTTGTTTTTTGAGGGTTGGCTGACCTTCTTTGGTCTTCGGCTTTCACGCTGTCTTCGCCGCATTGTTGCATGTGAACCCCCTTCATGCTTCCAACGTGTTCGATTGATGTGCAGGGGTCATTGTGACAGTAGACACAGCAGCTGATCCTCTTGTTGTGCCCTCCAGGTGTTGATGTCTGCGATGCTCTCCAGCCAGACGAAGGACCCCGTCACCGCGGCCGGCTTGAACCGGATGAGACAGGTGAACCAGCAGAGGTAGCCTAGCCGCTGCAATCTGAAGCGGTTGCCGTCACTGCAGCGCGGTGAATCACACCTCGGGCACGGAAAAGGGTGCGGGACAAGCTGTGCTCGTGTTTCGCTTTATATCTGTAGAACTGAAAAGGCACAAGCCCGAAAATACAAGTACTATTCGTACGGAACTTTTGCGTCAAACTAGTACTTGTATTTACGGCGAGCCACCATCGGTGTAGCGTCTCGCCCGACCGGATGCCGACGGCTGCCAACACAAAACTTCGCAGGCGTGCGCGCCAGCTCCCTTGGGAGCAGCTGCTCTTCTCGCAACTGGCATGGACGAGGACGCGCTGACGGAGCTACTCCATCCCGTCAGTTTCAAGAAGACCAAGGCGAGTGCTGCTTGAGAAGGCCACCGGAAAACATGTGGTAGATAAGAATCATCTTGCGATCGGCCTGTGGCGTCGTTCTCAGCCCTATTTTTTTTCAGTTGGCCATGATGCGGAGTGTGGCGTGTTTTATTGGGAAGGTGGGAAGGGGGCGTGGTCGTTCGCCGTAACAGAGACGTACATGTTCATCGGGGAACGTGTCCACATCGTTGTGAGGCAACGGGGAACCCTGGCGCGCCTGCCTGGTGTATGCCCTGCACCGTATGAGTGCTCCTGCGGCATCCGAACAGCGAGCGCACGTAACCGGCAACACTTAAAATTATCAAATCCAAGCGTCGCCGGATCTGTTATTTTCATTTTCTGCTGCATTTTACAGCTTGCCCTGACCCCATGCCCCCCCTGCTCAGGCCAAGCATATCTTGATGGTGTGCAAACGGTTAGCCGAGGCAGAGGATGGTCGGCAGGCTGGAGCCATCCCCGATACCGTCGAAGGTGAGTGATAATTCCTTTGGGCGGACGCAAGGGGGTGATTTCAGTCTTACGGCGAGGTGATTCTCCTGGAATTCGGGGAAGGTGAATTCCGGCATTGAGACGCCTGCACTCAGGCCTTCAACATTTGTCCGGCCACGGTTGCGTGTTGACGTGTTGTGCTGTGTCCGCCACCCTTGGCCGTTGAACGCACACGAGGTCTGCTGGAACTCCCGGGGGTCGGGCCGAAGATGACGTATCTCGTCATGGACGTGGCCTGGGGACGGAACGAAGGGATCTGCGTCGACACCCATGTGCACAGGTAGGTACTAGCAAGGTGTCCGCGGAGGGGTGGGGTGGGCACCCGGTGAACACCAGCTCGTTTGGCGAGGGGAAGTTTGTGTTGAAGTGTTTTTTCGTCGTTCTCACTCGAGTGTTTTTTTCCCTTCGTCGGGGACTGGGAAACGTGGAATTCTGCTGTTTTCGTGCTTGATGTACCGAGTCAAGGAATTCGTAGTAGCAGGATGAGTATTTGCATCTATTGTCCGCGTGTACTTTGCCCAAGCACCGCAGGAACCGTCGATCGTTGTGGAAGCCTACCCCGTACGACCGCGTGTTCACTGGTATTACCGGAAATATTGTAATTCTCAATTTTGAAAGGTCGCCGCTAGTCTGTTCCAACTCCACTCCCCCCACTCACTTTGTGATGCATTCTACGGTCATCTTTGGGCACGTCATCGTTGAACACCACCCTCCACCGCACGTTCTGGTGCCTGGGCGTAAAACGATTTCAGCCTTGTCTACATCACCTGCAACAAACGGATCGGATAAAGAAGAATGGTATGGTGTTGCGGTTGTCGGGGGACGCCGAAGGCGTCGCTTCCGGTGTTGTTGCGTGGAACATCGAATGGAGAGCCCGTAAGCGCACCGAAGATCGTCGCCCAGTCTGTTTTCCTCCCCCTTGTCCCTACGTCCTTGCAACATCTGCGGGTGCGAAAACTTTACGGCCTGGAGTCGACCAATGGGATAGTGCGCCTATCTGCTGGCCTGTTTACCTGGTAGAGGGTATTTCTTCCGACTACGAAACCAAGTGTCCATACACCTATATCAGTACCCTGCCTGCCCCGCTCTGCTTGCCCCGCTCTGCTCGCCGAAAAACGGGACCAATTCCTCGTGTAGGATTAGCAACCGTCTTGGATGGGTAGACACGTGGAACAGGAACAGACCCAAGGCCCAGAACCCGGAGAAAACCAGGAAACACCTGCAGGCGTGGTTACCTCGCGAGCACTGGTGAGAATGCGGGACTCTGCTCTGTGTGCTTATTTATTATGCTTATTTAACTTATGGTTTCTGCGCCAAATGCACGCGCTTAGCTGATTACTTGTGTGTTCGCCGTTCATCGTCAGCTAGATCCTGTGCAGGCGTTGGGTGCATGGGGTAGCGGGTGGAGAAGGCCTTAAACGCGGCCCCTTCGATGTGCTCGAGGTTATGGATTTGATACGGTATTGTATATCGTGCTGCGTTGCTCGTAATGCGCAGACTATTACTTTTACGCCCGAAGCCATGTGTCGAACACTCTTCGACGCGAGCTACCTTCGTTCGAGAATATATGCATGCGTCGTTCGAGGATGTATGAATACGTCGCCGACTTCGGCTTTCCGCCTTATTCAGCGCCGGGTACTGTCAGGAAGACTGCTGTTGCTGTTTCGCACCCACAACCACCCCAAATTCCAAACTTCAGAAGAACGGGGGGCTTTGGTCTTACGTACATGCTCTTTCTCTCTTGCTCCACCTCGTCGTCTGTTCTAGGAACCTCGTGTCAGCTGTTGATTGCTTCTCAAACATGCTTTGTGAGGAGATTCGATGCACTGACACCGTTCATCTCGGAACAAGTTCTTTCTCGTGAAATCAGCTGCTTTGTTTCGAGCCGTCACCCTCTTTCTTCTTTCGTACTCCATCGCACCTCTATATTCCTCACCAACACCTGTTCGCGTACTGTTTGCCAATACTAAGGTCGGAGGTCAACGAGTTATTGGTGGGATTCGGGCAGCAGGTCTGCTTCGCGACGAGCCCGTCGTGTTCTGCTTGTGGCATCAGCGGCCTATGTCCCTCGGCAGATAGACATGGCGACCTTGCTCTATCGCCAAGCAAGTGACGTATTGAGTAACGTATGAGAGTACGTTATCCGTTGCAGCTTTGAACTGCTTTGGCATTGAGTCGTTATGGCAGTACCGCGGAAAGGACTGCGGAGCACACCCTCGACCAAGCTGGGAACGCGGCGGCGTGAGCCATGCTAGTTTTTGGTAACTAATAATTAGTTTTTTTATTGTGCCTGTTTTCTGTTTGTTTCGCTTTGTTTGGCAGGACGAATACCCTGATGCTTTGAATCGGTAGGCATTACGGCGGGGTATGCACAGTTTTGCAGCGTGTTTGAGGATTCAGCTTAAGCAAAAGGCCTTTCTCGTCTACTAATAGTCCTCGCCGAAGGACACAGAAAGAGTAATGCATGCCGCTTGGCGCCGCCGCCGTGGTACAGGCGTCACAACCGAACGATGTTGCCGTTGATGATGTTGCGCACGTGCTACTCACGACATGATTTCCCCACACGTCTTGTTGTCGATCGATGATTCAGGGCATTTAACTGATTGACTTTGCGGCATTGTCGTGCGGTTAGACTACGGTAGTCTGTCTCATGTCCAGGTCGAGCAAGAAAAACCAGAATTCGGGCAGCATGAGTACAGCAGTGTAGACCCAGATGCGGTAGACTCGTGGATATGGCGGACACGTACGAGGAGGTGGATTGACAGTACCATCATCGCAGGCGGATGCAGTTTCGAACGGGTGGTGCGGCGCATGAGCGGCAAATGACAACGATTGGGCGGCTCTTGGACCCTCGCCGGGTGTTGTTAGCCCACGGGTGGCCTCTGAGCGGTCCATGGGCGGTCGATGACCCATGTTGACCCAAGAACGGCCCATGAGCGGCTATTTCGACCCTTGACGAGACTCATGCCAACTGCTGTTGGGCCGACGTATGGATTGATGGGCCATTTTGGTACTTACTGACTGGATCAAAAACCACCCGTTCAGGCGTCCAAGCGGGAGATTAGCCCGGGCAGGTGGCATGCAGTTGGGATCTTCACGCAGATACGGAACGAGAGACTGAGAGACATGAGACCAGTTACAGTAGACCACAAGACCGGGCAGCCGGGTCGAAGGATCGAAGAGATCGGACCATCGGGAGCTACAGCAGCAGATGTTCTCCTTCGGCGGCTACCTCCGCAGTGCCAATTCGTGTGCGGGCTAGCCGCGTAATAAGTGTTACTGTCACTTCCTATCGTTTCGGCGGCGCCGACTGCTTAGAGCTTCTTGTCGTTTTGTCGATTCGGACGGTTGTCGTTGCCAACGGTGTTTTTCTTGCTTTTTCTTTTTTCTTTTTTCTGTTCCGACACCTGTTGTTTCGATATTTAAGGCGTTGACGCGGCTCTTGTCCTATTGTGTTGTTGTTTTCTCTGTGTTCGTTCGTAGCCCCCGTATTTTCCTTTTTCCCTATCTACCTTTTCAAGGTTGGGTGAAACGATGGTCTTGCGACTCATCGTGCGAGAGGTGTGGGAGGGTGAGTCTTGGAATTTTGGAGCTAGCTCCGCATCCTTGATCCTTGCATTCTGGGATTCGACAAATACTGTAGTTGCCATATTCCGAGATTTGAAGTGTATCTGCGGGTTTATTTGTGTAGAAGGACCTCCAGGGTGGGCTAAGAAGTGTTGCTGGGTTTGCATTTAGCAATTTTCAACGGTTTTGCGGAGTAATTCCTGTGAGGAAAGTACGGGAAATGGATGCACCTCGTGATAGAAGATAAAAGAGAGCACAGGACCTTTGTGGTCCCGTTGAGAGGATCACATGTCCTCCCCCTCTGTGCGCAGTCTTCAAGCGCAGACCAACAGCAAGCACTGCTGTTTTAAGAGATGACATGAATTAATAAACGATTCTTCATCAGGGTCTTCAGGAATCGCTACGCGTGTAATCCCACGACACGAGCGGAAGCTACGGACACATGGAATAGGAGCGGCCGCTCGCAGAGAAACAACGTGTAGTCGCGAGTTTATCTTTGGTTCTTTAAGAGTGCACATGTAAAGATGTGGCGATTTATTCTGATTCGTTCGCTGCTCTTGTTATTTCACCGCCCGCCTTATCTGTCAGCCCTGCTTTCATCTTCGTTTTTTTGAACCACCCCCCCCGTGTTGGTATAATCGTGGCTTCTGGGGGAAAGTTGTTTTATTGATGAGACCTTGGACCAGGAGAACAGGTCACAAGGTGGAGTGATCTGGATGGGTGCACAGCATCCCAGCAGCATCACGCTTGGGCATTCGCCCGATCACGCATATACACCGAACACGGACCGATGCATGGAACGGACCAATGCGCTTTCCTACGGACCAATGCACTTTCCTACATATCACACTTGATGTTTGCTCAAGAACTCTGGATTATTTTTTCTGCAGGCAACCAAAGAAAAACCAAGACACATGAAACAAATTGAGAGGGCAGGTAAAATGCCGTCTTGCTCCCAACGTTTTCTTATCGGACTAACCCGTTGCAAACTTCCCAAGATTGCCCGACTATCATTAACTATTGTTTCGGCCTCTGGCCTAAACACATCTACTCCATTGAGCATGCCCGATGACCTACTCCTCCGAACCGCTCCCTGGTCATTCCTCGGGTTCCGTAAGGGCCTGAGACACAAACTTTGCTCCTTCACCCCCCGCCCTAACGTACACCAT